ATGTTGTGTTACCAACTTAGTTTCACTTAAACTCATAGAAAAGATCACCAGTTGGAATATGGAAAAGGTAAGAGTTAAAGAAGAAGATAATGAGTGAAGTCGATGTTTATAAAAGAAGTTGATCTGTTAATCCAGAAATGTGTGTTTTTAGCCATAGGCTCTGTCTGCCCTATGAAGTAAAGTATCTTTTTAGATAAGCTGTTTGGTTTTGTTTGTTTGTTTTGTTTCGCTGTTGCTACCCAGACTGGAGTGCAATGGCACGATCTTGGCTCACCGCAACCTCCTGGGTTCAAGCAATTCTCCTGCCTCAGCCTCCCGAGTAGCTGGGACTACAGGCGCGCACCACCATTACCAGCTAATTTTTATATTTTTAGTAGAGACGGGGTTTCACCTTGTTGACCAGGATGGTCTCGATCTCTTGACCTCGTGATCCACCCTCCTCGGCCTCCTAAAGTGCTGGGATTATAGGCCGAGCCACTGTGCCCTGCTCTGTTTGGTTTTTTTTTTGGAGACGGAGTTTTGCTCTTGTTGTCCAGCCTGGAGTACAATGGTGTGATCATGGCTCACTGCAACCTCTGCCTCCTGGGTTCAAGCAGTTCTCCTGCCTCCACCTCCCAGGTAGCTGGGATTACAGGCGCCTGCCACCCTTCTCGGTTAATTTTTGTATTTTTAGTAGAGATGGGGTTTCACCGTCTTGGCCAGGCTGGTCTCTAATCCCTGACCTCAAGTGATCCACCTGCCTCAGCCTCCCAAAGTACTGGGATGACAGGCATGAGCCACTGCGCCTGGCAGCGGCCTAGATAAGCTTTAAAAAGCCAGGCTGGGTGCAGTGGCTCCTGCTTGTCATCCCAGCACTTTGGGAGGCCCAGGTGGGCAGATCACTTGAAGTTGGGGGTTGGAGACTAATCTGGCCAACATGGTGAAACCCCGTCTCTGCTTAAAAGAAAAAAAGCCACTTTACAGGACACATGCAGTGGCTCACACCTGTAATCCCAGCACTTTGAGAGGCCAAGGGGGTTGGATTGTTTGAGCTCACTAATTAGAGACCCCCCCTGAGCAATATGGCGAAAATCCTTCTCTACTAAAAATACAAAAATTAGCTGGGTATGGTGGTGTGTGCCTGTGGTCTTAGCCACTCAGTAGGCTGTGGTGGGAAGATGGTTTGAGCCCAGGAAGTGGAGGTTGCAGTGAGCTGAGATCACACCACTTCACTTCAGCCTGGGTGATAAAGCCAGACCTTGTCAAAAAAACAAAAACAGCCACTTAATACCATTCAGTTTAAAACCAGATGCTGCCTCATGCCCCAAACATGGAACTCTTTGTAACCTTATGCATTAGAGCTTAGAATTCAGTAAGAATCAGTTGGATTTTGGATCCCATTCAGTGCATTATAGTTTTTGAAAGCGCAACAAGATTTCAGTTTACATATCTTTCATGTTTAAAGTTTGAGCAAGAGGCTGGGTGTGGTGGCTCATGCTTGTAATTCTAATGCTTTGGGAGGCTAAGGTGGGAGGCTTGCTTAAGGCCAGGAGTTTGATTGAGACCAGCTTGGGCAACATAGCGAAACCTTGACTCTACAAAAAAAAAATTAAAAATTAGCCAGATGTGGTGGTATGCATCTGTAGTTGCAGCTACTCAGGAGGCTGAGGCAGGATCACTCAAGCCCAAGAATTTGTGGTTACAGTGAGCTATGATTGTGCCACTGCACTCTAACTTAGGGGACAGAGTGAGACCCTGTCTCAAAAATAAAATTAAGATAAGAGTTTAAACAAGATTTCAGAATAAATTTTCTTCATGTCTTAAATAACTTTTTAAGTTAAATACTGTGGACTTACAAAAAATTTAAATATACAGAATGACATTAAAAAATGCAATCCTACACCTATATATATAAGCACTACTGATATTTTGATTAAGATCTTTCCAGATATCTTTACAGGTACATGTGTACAGTGCATGTATATGTTTTGTCACTCTAAAGAAGAGAAGGGATCACAGTAATGCTTTTGGGGTGGGAGGAAATCCCACTTCACATTTAGTAAAAGGAATACATGAATGGAAGAAAGAAAATTAGCTTCAGCATCTAAACACTCAAAACAGTTTGTAAACATCTGTTTGATTAAATATTTTGAGGATTATCTTCAACCATCAGGAAAAACGAAATAATTCTGAAATACATTGTGAGTTCTGAGTTGAACTGAAAGCGTTATGTGGGGGTGTAAAGACTGCTTATCCAGCTATGTGTCCAGGTTAAGGCCTTAACACAGTACTGAAACAGAAGACTGTTAACTTTTCACCATTCCCAAACCTCAGGTAGATTAGAAACAGATGTCTATCCACAGCTCTTTAGCTATTATGGATGGCTAATTAGATGTGGGTATGGACTACATTGCCGTCAACTCAGATAATACTCATTGCTCTTTTAACAAGGTAATACATAAATTGTATATTTATGTCTGTTTTTGTTTTAGGATGTATGTAGTAATCAGTTTAGTGATGCTACTGTGTGATTGAATGAAATTCTGAGTAGATCATTAAGAGTTCTTTTCTAACCACTATAATATTCAAGAGTAGTCATTTAGAATGTCTTTAATTTCCTCCAGTTGGTAGCCCAATAGTGTATTGCCTTAAATGTTCAAAAAGTATGCCTCTGCCATTTGCAGTAACTGGAAACCTTAGGAATTTCTGCCAAAGTTCTTCAAAGCACAAAGCTGAAGTATGTATTGAAATGCCTGAGTCAGCTGCTCAAGGGGTATACTGACTGCACTCCTGCTGATTTTTCTGGGTAAAAAAACCTCTTTGGTGATCCAAGGCAGCTGGCTTTTACTCTCTCTGCCCAGAAGCACATGTATTTTAACTATGCACAAAAAGCACAGAGATATACTACATCTAAATGCTAGCATTGGAATTGTTACATTTTCTATTATTATGTTTAATTTCGGCAGATCTTTTAAAATAATATATAAGAAAATAACTTTAACTCTTCTACTGATAACCATTAATTTTTTTTTTTTTTGAGACAGAGTCTTGCTCTGTGGCCAGGGTGGAGTGTAGTGGTGTGATCTCAACTCAGTGTAACCCCTGCCTCCTGGGTTCAAGCAATTCTCCTGCCTCAGGCTCCTAAGCACCTGGGACTACAGGTGTGCACCACCAAGCCCAGCTGATTTTTTTATTTTTAGTAGAGACGGGGTTTCACCATGTTGGCCGGGATGGTCTCCATCTCTTGACCTCATGATCTGCTTCTCTCGGCCTCCCAAAGTGCTGGGATTACAGGCGTGAGTCACCATGCCCAACCACCATTAAAATTTTTCAACTCTTTTCTAACTTTCTAATTTAGGGAAGGAAAAAGAAATATACCTACTGTATTCATTGAATGTTTAGTATGTGCCTGAAATTTTTATTTGCTTAGTGTTACTTCCATTTTATAGATGAGGACCTCAGAGCAGTTAAGTACAGTCACATAGCTTTGAGTAGTGAGCACAGTTAGGATTTTAACCAGGTCTTCTTGATTCTAAAGGAATCTCATCATACTGTAGAATGAGCTATCAACTATTAGGCTATTAAAGGCTATCATCAACCTTATTAAATTAAAAAAACCAAGGTGCAGCATGATAAGAATAATATACTACCATATGCATGATCAGATATACATGCACATATATGTGTTTATTTTTATACATGCTTAGCATATCAGGTATCTTTTGAATGCTTGCCTCCAGGAATAGAGACAGAGTAGCTAGAAATTGGGATTTTTATTATAAAATTTTAACGCTTGAGTTTTGTTTTATGTGCATGTATTACCTATTTACAGGAGAAACTGTGTGCACCACTGTGCCCAGCCAGTTTGTCTAGTTTTTGAAACAAGAACACCATGCCTCAAGTGACAGTAATTGTAGTCATGACTGAAGTAAAAGAAGTATTTTATGAGTTTTAAAATTGAACTTAAAAAAGCTTTTTATCTACTGAAAGCTTGATTTTCATTCGGGGCAAAATTAATGGAAATAGAGTATTTTAAACAAGCAAGGGGGATTAGTTGAGTTGGCTTTGTGCTTATCAGATCATACCTTATCTTGAATATACTTTATTTTTGTGCTTGATTTTAAGAACTGTAATGACCTATTTACATAGCTGTCTCCCCTACAAGGCTGGGCATTCCCTGAGGGATGGTATCCATACCTCATCTGCCCTTGTATCTTTACTGGCTAGCCTAATTCCTGACACTTGGTAGGTAGCTAATAAAAGTTGCCTTGAGTTGAATGGAAATAGAAATACTTAGTTTAGTATGGGGAGGAGAGAGAAGAGAAAAATCTATCTTCCGATAATTATAGAGTTCTCATGTAGAAGAGAGATTAAGTTTGTTCTGTATGGCTTCAGAAGACAGAGAACCGATGGGTAGAAGTATCGAGAAGTTTCTAAAGGTTGAGTCATCTAGATCCTAGACGGCTCTGTCCTAAAAGGTACTGAATCTTTCTTTGTATCATGGGTTATACCAAAAAAGCAAAAAAGAAAAAAAAAAGGAAGGTACTGAATCTATCTCCAGGGGATTCATGGCTCTTTAACTTACTTTTTCCCCCCACTTTGTGTTTGTTTGTTTGTTATTGAGGAAGAATCTCACTCTGTCTCCCAGGCTGGAGTGCAGTGGCATGATCTCAGCTCACTGCAACCTTTGCCTCCTGAGTTCAAGTGATTCTCCTGCCTCAGCCTCCTGAGTAGCTGGGACTACAGGTGTGTGCCACCATGCCCAGCTAATTTTTTGTGTTTTTGGTAGAGACAGGGATTTACCATGTTGACCAGGCTGATCTTGAACTCCTGACCTCAAGTGATTCACCCACCAGCACCTCCCAAAGTGCTGGGATTACAGGCATGAGCCACCCATGCCACCCGCACCCAGCCATTTCCCCTACTTTGTTATAGATATAGCATGTATGTGAATATGTTACTTACCATTTATTATAGGAAGCAAAATTACTAACCTCCTTCTTTGATTTTGTTGTTCATAGTCAAGTTCATCCGAGAAGTAACGCCATACATCAAGAAGCCATCATTAGTATCAGACCTGCCGTGGGAAGGTGCAGCTCCCCAGTCACCAAGCTTTAGTGGCAGTGAGGACTCTGGTTCACCAAAACACCAGAACAGTACCAAGGACAGAAAGATCATCCCTCTCAAAATGTGCTTTGCTGCCAGAAACCTAAGCATGCCGGATCTGGAAAACAGGTGAGCTCTACCTAACAAAAACATCATACCTACAGCTTTACAAGCTTAAGGGCATGTTCAATATTATATGACTCTGTTAACTAAATTATACGGAGGAAAACATCAGTCTGAGGTTAGAGATGCATTTTTGGGTTCCACATTTTAAATTATTCCACATATATGTACATGTATATGTGTGGAAAAAATTTTGGGCAGACACACAAGAAACTGTTAATGGGTTATCCCTAGGGCATTAAATAAGATTAAAGGGGAGAAAGAAAGAGGTAGCATCTTCTCTTTCTTTTATATATTTCTTTTTTTTTTTAGGCTGGGCCTCAGCGTAATCCTATTGAGCATGATTTTTAAGTCATCACCTCTCTTCAGAGAATCTTTTATATATTTCTATAATGTTATTTTTTCACTATAAATATGAATTACTTTGTAATTGAAACAAAGTATTGCTAAAGAGTAATTTAAAAATATCTCTTTAGATGGAAATTCCTTATATTGTAGGTAGTATAGAGTTAGAGATCTGCATTATGGTTCTGGCTAAATCAACCAGCAGTGTGACTTTGGCAAGTTAGCTTCCCTTTACCTCAGTTTCCTCATTTGCAAAATTAGAAAATTAGAATGGGTAATTTCTGATGTCCCCCCTAGTTCTATAATCATATGCATTCTGTAATGAATTAACTTTGTCTTCATTAACTCAGTGAAGTGGCATGGTAGACTGAATGTTAGGGTAGAAATAGCTATTTCTCCTACAAGGCTGAACATTTCTTGAGGAATAGGATCCATGCCTCATTTCCCCTTGTATCTTTACTGGCTAGTCTAATTCCTGACACTTGGTAGGTAGCTAATAAAAGTTGATTGAGTTAAATGGAAATAGAAATACTTAGCTTAGTATGGAAATACTAAGTATAGAAATAGAAATACTTAGGTTGGTATGAAAATACTAAGTATAGAAATAGAAATAGTAATACTTAGCTTATTTTTTTTTTTTTTTTGAGACTGAGTTTTGCTCTTTTTTTTTTTTTTTTTTTTTTTTTGAGACTGAGTTTCACTGTTTTTACCCAGGCTGGAGTGCAATGGCACGACCTCGGCTCACTGCAACCTCCACCTTCTGGGTTCAAGCAATTCTTCTGCCTCAGCCTCCCGAGTAGCTGGGACTACAGGCGCACACCACCATGCCCAGCTAATTTTTGTATTTTTAGTAGAGACGGGGTTTCACCTTGTTGACCAGGATGGTCTCGATCTCTTGACCTCGTGATCCACCCGCCTCGGCCTCCCAAAGTGCTGGGATTATAGGCATGAGCCACCATGCCCAGCCTGAGTTTTGCTCTTGCTTGTGCCCAGGCTGGAGTGCAGTGGCACGATCTTGGCTCACCACAACCTCCAGCTCCCAGGTTCAAGTGATTCTCCTGACTCAGTCTCCTGAGTCGCTGGAATTACAAGCATATGCCACCACACTTAGCTAGTTTTTTTTTTATATTTTTAGTAGAGACAGGGTTTCTCCATGTTGGTCAGGCTGGTCTTGAACTCTTGACCTCAGGTGATCCACCTGCCTCAGCCTCCCAAAGTGCTGGGATTACAAGTGTGAGCCTCCATAGCCAGCCTAAAATAAGAAAAGTCTTAACTGACTATTATGTAAACACATTTTGAAAGTTGTATTGTGATATATTTGTATTGTTGGCTTTCTTTTAAAAGTTCAAGACATTGTAAAGATTTCTTGGTGCTACATATAGATTTATTTCTGAAAGGTTGTGTGTATGTTGAATCATCTAAGTTCATCATAGCTTGATCTTTAAAAAAATTTTATATTCTTTCCATGAAGTAAGAATTTAATTTGCGCTGGGTGAGGGGGCTCAGGCCTGTAATCCTAGCACTTTAGGAGGCTAAGACAGGTGGATCACTTGAGGTCAAGAGTGTGAGGCCAGTCTGGCTAACATGGTGAAACCCTGTCTCCACTAAAAATACAAAAATTAGCCAGGTGTGGTAGCAGGCATCTGTAATCCTAGCTACTTGGGAGGCTGAGGCAGGAGAATCACTTGAAGCTGGGAGGCAGAGGTTGCTGTGACCCACGATGGTGCCACTGCTCTCCAGTCTGGGTGACAGAGCAAGAGTCCATCACACACACACACAGAAAATAATAAATAAACAAATGAGATACATTTGAGCCAGACATGGTGTTGGCTCACACCTATCATCCCAACACTTTGGGAGGCTGAGGCAGGAGGATTGATTGAGGCCAGAAGTTTAAGACTAGCCTGGGCAGCATAACAAGACTATCTCCACAAAAAAAAAAAAAAGGAAAAAGCTATAGAGACCTTGGTCTGTTAGTCATGGGATTTTTTTTTAAAGTTAGGGACATAGTGGGAGGTGGGGAGGGATAGCCTGGGGAGAAATGCCAAATGTGGGTGAAGGGGAGAAGAAGAGCAAAGCACACTGCCATGTGTGTACCTACGCAACTGTCTTGCATGCTCTGCTCATGTACCCCAAAACCTATAATCCAATAAAAAATTAAAAAAAAGTTAGGGACATAGAGAATTAGATAGAGAAACAATGTAATGAAGAACAAATTGCAATTACATTTGTCAACTAGCTGTCAGGCTGAGAAAAGTACAGAGTCGATTTTGTCATAAATCATTTCTTTTTGTTTGTTTGTTTGAGACAGGGTTTTACTTCTGTCACCCAGGCTAGTAGAGTACAATGGCATGGTCTTAGCTCACTGCAACCTCTGCCACCTGGGCTCAACTAATTCTCCTGCCTCAGTCTTCCAAGTACCTAGGACAAAGGTACATGCCACTGTGCCCAGATAATTTTTGTATTTTTTGTAGAGACGGGGTTTTGCCACATTGCCAAGAGTGGTCTCAAATTCCTGGGTTCAAGCAATCCACTCGCTTAAGTGTTGGGATTACAGGTGTGAGCCACCACGCCCAGCCATAACTCATTTCTGAGAATAGGAACCTATAGTGCTGCTCATGTAGCTGGGTACTAAAGAAAAGGTAAAACATTATAAAGTTTCTATAGAAACCTGGAGTTGTGGGAGTGGGGAAATATGGAAGGAAGAAGATGTGACTTGGCTGTATTGCTAAAAGTTGTGCTATTTCATCATCCACTAAGGATTGAAGTCCAGTAAACTTGGTCTTTATTAAAACTTGGGGGCTGAATTCTCTTTGACATATTTATATGCTAAAGACATTTAAGTCGGGCACAATGGCTCATGCCTGTAATCCCAGGACTTTGGGAGGCTAAGGCAGGCAGATCACCTGAGGTCAGGAGTTTGAGACCAGCCTGACCAACACAGTGAAACCCCATCTCTACTAAAAATACAAAAAAAAAAAAATAGCCAGGCATGGTGAAGCATGCCTGTAATCTCAGCTACTCAGGAGGCTGAGGCATGAGAATAACTTGAACCCCGGGGGGCGGAGGTTGCAGTGAGCTGAGATCATGCCATTGCCCTCCAGCCTGGGCAACAAGAGCAGAATTCCGTCTCAAAAAAAAAAAAAAAGACATTTGGTCATGGTCACATGTGAAATAGATCTTCAGAACCAAATGGAGAAGGCAGTCTGGGGCTACAAGAGTTCTACTGTTATACCTTCCTTTTTAGTAAATGGTCAGTCTACTTGACTATAGCATACTATATAAGGAAAGGTCTTAGAAGATCCAAGCTAGTTCTGAGATTCTCAGTCTTAATGCTGCAAAATAACTTGTTTCTAATTTTACTTAAGATATCAAAATTTGGCTGGGCATGGTGGCTCACACTTGTAATCCCAGCACTTTGGGAGGCCAAGGCAGCAGATCATTTGACCTCAGGAGTTTGAGACCATCCTGGCCAATGTGGTGAAACCCCGTCTCTACTAAAAATACAAAACTTATCTGGGTGTGGTGGGGCGCACCTGTAATCCCAGCTACTCAGGAGGCTGAGATAGGAGAATTGCTTGAACCCTGGAGGCAGAGGTTGCAGTGAGCTGAGGTTGTGCCACTGCACTTCAGCCTGGGCTACAGAGCAAGACTGTCTCAAAGAAAAGAAAGATAACAAAATTTGCAAATGATTTGCTTTTTGTAAAATATAAATTGGAAGAAATTCAAGGTTATTCCTATGATGATACCACTTTTACTTGCATTTGCATGCCTTTTTACACATGAAGTAAAGCAGTAAGATTACAAGGGTTGGCAAAAAATATGCATAACTTCAGCTATACTTGTGGGAATGTGAACATCTATGTGTATTGGCAGAAAAAAATGTATAAAGCCATTGGCTAACTGGACCTCAGCTATGAGAGAAGATAGAAGTTAGGAAGATAGGCTTCGTAGTTTTGGTCAAGCTTTTTGTTTTCCACAGCCTTGCATTTCCCTTGTATAAAATAAGATTATAGGAGGATTAAATAAGACCATAATTGTAGAATCTCAAGTTATTATAGGCATTGTTAATGTTCTTGTGATATTTAATAAGTTCCTTAATTTCTCTGTCCCCCTGTTTTCTCTGTCTGTAGGATGGATATAATAATGTCTCCTCAACTCTACACTTTAGAAGTACTTTGAGAATAAATAATATCTATAAAATAATTCAGGGCCAGGAGCAGTGGCTCATGCCTGTAATCCCAGCACATTGGGGGACCAAGATGGACGGATAACTTGAGGCCAGGAGTTTGAGAAACTGTCCCTACTAAAAATAAAAGATTAGCCAGGCATGGTGGCACACACCTGTAACCCCAGCTACTCAAGAGGCTGAGGCACAAGAATTGCTTGAACCTGGGAGGTGGAGGTTGCAGTGAGCCGAGATTGTTCTGCCTCAAAAAGAAAAATAAAATAATAAAATACCTCGAAGCTCACTGGTCCTTAAATTTATCTCAGCTCTGTTAAAAGAAATATCCATTTGTTTATCTGGTTTATTTAATTATTATTATTTTTTCGAGATGGAGTTTCTTTTGATCTCGTTGACCAGGCTGGAGAGCAATGGCGCAGTCTCAGCTCACTGCAACCTCCACCTCCCGTGTTCAAGCGAGTCTCCTGCCTCAGCC